AATCCATTATATCCAGTTAAGTGAATTGCAAAAGGCATGCAAGTGTCCAGGAAAAGAAATCCCTGTAAATTCAGTCCTTTTATTTGACAAAGGTTCTGGTTGCAGCTGATTTGAATTTAAAGCCAGCAAGACTTTCAGTGGCTCCTCTTCTGTCATGGCGGATATAAGACAGAGATGCAAGCTTATCTCTGATCCTGGTCATGGGTGCTTCTTCCGTATGTGAAACACTGAACCAGGCTTTCCAACAGGAAGCAAAGTTGTCCCTCCACATATCCTCTGAGCTAGTCCATCTTCACAGAGCAAACTATAGTTACGTAACGTGTGCTGTTGCACTTACTGGTACAATTGCATGGATTGCTTGGCTTTAGTTTCACAGTCAACAGCCTTTATTCTCAAATTGGTTTCTGAGATATCTGGGTCTTAGGAAAAACGTAGAAATAACATCTTGTTGCACCATTCTGGCCCCCACTACCATCTCACCGAGTCTGCAGTTATTTGGATACCCTTTATAATTATTGTCACCTTGATTTTCCTAACAGCAGAAGTGGCTTCAGGATCATCTGTTGTATATATATATATATATATATACACACACACACATACATTTACAGATGTACTGAATTTACTTTGAGAGAGGTTATTCGGTTGTGGCTAGTGAGTAGCTGAGCTGGTGAGTGTTCAGCATTGAACATAGCAATAAAGACCTCTTGCAGATATCATCGTGAGACATAATTGCCCCACCTCAGTTCTTCATTCATTTTCTTGGTTATTGAAAATCAAACTTATTTGATTTTTGTAGCCCAGGAGAACACTTTTTGTTCCAAAAGCAAGATAAAGTTCAAGGGCAACTGCTTCAGTATTTACAAAGCTATTTTTGCAAAACTGTTCAAAATTATATGGTTATTTGTAAGCCTATGTTCTGCACAGATGACTTTTACAATCACTCATCAGTTGCAGAATTTTGTTAGGGGAGGGTATAGTCTTAAGGAAGCAGGAGATTCACAGATTGCAGTTTCATTTGCCGGGGGGCAGCAGGTGACCTGCATTTGGAAAGAACCAACCAAAGAGGCCACACACAAGGGACAGTGCTAACAGCAAACAAAATGCATGCTTAGAAATGTGACACTGACATGGACAGAAACAAGGCTTCCGATTTGTCACATAGACAAAGCAGTGGCAGTGACAATGACATCAGTTCACTTAAGATCCTTAAGAGTTCTCGGTGTCACCCCACTGGGGAGTTCCCAAGCTTATTTCTCACACACCACTTAGAACAAAGCAGGAGAAAATAGACATCCTCATCTCCGTGGCAGCATTGTAGATAATTAGTAAGTCTGAGTCTACAGAAGGCCATGACTGGCCACGGTTCAATAAAAGCACATAGACCTATACACAGATGTTATTCTAATGTTTTGTTTTCTTTGTACTGATCTGAAAAAAATAGGCAGGAAATATGGAGAATTATGTGGCACTAGAAGGGGACCTTTTAAAAAACACTTTCACTGTAGGAGTAAAAGGAGACAGTGATTTCTCACGTTTTTGCAGTAAATGTAAAAGTGACTACAAAAATGGCCGGGCAAGTGACATGAAGAGCACACTCTCATACATCCCCTACAAGGACAAGTTGAAACCTCATTGTGTTCTATTTTTGATGTGGTATATATACCATGCCCAGATGCTGGAGGATCCCAAAATGAAGCAAAACAGCGCAAACTGGGAACAGCAAAACACCAAGACTCTCAGATCCAATAAAATGACAATTTCCTTATCTTTATCTTTCTGCTTTGAGATAGCCACCTCTGGTTAAGGATTTGCTTACAAAGTCCAACCTCTGCACTTTAATGTTTTTCATGCACTTTCAGTCCAACTTACATCAGCTTTACATTTAACATACAAAATAGGGAATGCAGATATCCAAAATGATGTGTGTTGGATGCTGTCTAAGAATAAAAAACCATCAAAGATCAAATTACATTCTAGATAGCTGAGCTGGTCAAGTAGGAAAACATGAATCCATTTTACAACTATTTCATTTTAGGCATACATACATATACACAGGTTTCTGGTTAACTTTGACAGAATATAATATTTATCTTATGTCATTGATTCAAAATGAAGGGTTGATCAGGTGGCCTTGGCATCAAAACCCACTAATTCAAAAAGATGTTGTAATAAAATCATTCACAATGAATGAATTATAGCGGAAGCTGGATGTTTGTCTCATGGTCACAGAAACAGAATAATCACAGTCTAAATAAGAATTCTAGTATTTTCTTTGTAAGAGATATAGCATTTTTACATTGAAAATGCTGAATGAACTTCCAGACCCTGAGTTCTCACTTCCTTTATTACTGATGCAAGAAATATTTTCTATTTATTTCTTTAATAAAACATTTACTATCTATATTTCAAAATCTAAGATGTATTAGGAAAGCCTAAATGACATTTGAAAAAAGATAATGGCAGACACAAACAACTCCCAAACTAGTGTATGTTACACAGACAAGGCAAGAACAGCAAGCTATGATGAGTGTGCCAGAAAAGCCACCGTGTGCCTCCCAGGATAAAGAAGGCAAGGGTCCCAGTGATGTCCTGAAGGTCAAATGCTGTGTCACGAACTTTGGGAAGGAAAATCTTAACATAGGGTTTTACTATGAGAGTGTTTATGGGTTAGGAACCATGACGTAAACACCCGAACAGGTTCCCAGCTTACTATTGAGGCATTTCCAGTGCTGTTTCTAAAAGCTTTCAATTCTATAAGATTCAAAATGACCAAAGAACAAAACCTCTTTTTACCATTTTGTGATGTTTTTTAGAGTCTCGTAGGAATTAAGAATTTAGTTCTAGTACCAAAGAAAACCAAACTTATTAATCAAATACTTCTTCCTAAGGTTTGGATTTGAGAGGCACAACTGTAACACCAAACTGAGTCGCTTTGATTTACTGAATCTGGGACAGATGCCTACAGCTCTCCAGTCCTCAGTTTCATTGAGATGTCTAGGCAGCTACGCTTCCTCTAAACCCACCAACATTATTGCTGATCAGAAGTCTTTCTTCTTGCCTGTTGTAGCACTTCACAGCAAAGGATTGCTAGGGCTCGCCATCTGGAGTGGGCCCTGTGGACAGCTGCTCCTGGGTAGGCAGGGGGGTACTCTGTGTATACACAGCATGGGTGCTGACATGTGACAGAAGGCCCCAGTGTGTGCAAGATGGGAGGCAGATTAAGTCCCAGCAAAGGCATCTGAGACAAATGAGTACTTACACTAAAAGAGAGTTTATACTAAATCTCCAATCATTAATATGGCAATTTGATCAGCAATTTGACAGTAATTTCTACTTTATAAAGCTTTCTTAATAGAGGCCAATTGGTAAGAAACTGAAAATGTGCCGTAGTAAAAAATTCATTGTAAGTTCTAAGTATAACACTGTAATTATCATTCTCCAACTAAGAGGGTGCTGTCACCGTGGCCTATTAATGCAGCCACATACACAGTTACATTGTTTTCCTAGAAATCAAATGCAACTCAGCTTCGATTTCAGAGCTCAGGTATAATTTTCATGTTTATAATCTACAAAATAGAAATAAATTGAAAAAGCCAAAATAGATATTTGGGTATACCATTGATAGTTGAGCCTCATTGGGAGTGATTTCAGCAAAGGCAGTTAACTGTTGCTCTTTCTTTCACATTTTAGTCCCATGTGTTAACAGCAACCTTCAGGTCAGCACTGACTAGAGATGATGAATGCTGGAAGGAAGGTCTTTCCCAAATGCCTGGTCTCCATATAATCCCAGTGTGCGAGCTGTTGCTCTTAACTCAGCTCAGGGCCCCAAGGATCTTTCCACCACCCTTGTTTAACCTTCTGTAGAAACCAGTGAGAGAACATGGCCACCCAACACTCAAGACTTCACGAAGATCTCTGAAGTGTATCTCTTAAAAGTGATAATCTGAGCCTGGTGGTATTGGCACATGCCTTTAATCCCAGCTCTTGGGAGGCAGAGGCAGGTGGATTTCTGTGAGTTTGAGGCCAGCCTGGTCTATAGAGCAAGTTCCAGGACAGGCTCCAAAGCTACAGAGGGAAACCCTGTTTCGAAAAAAAGCAAAAAAACAAAACAAAAAGATAAATCTTGAAGGAATCTAGGTTGTACATTTGAGGAAGCAGAAACTGTTACCAGAGGAAGAATTTACAATTCAAAATTTACTGTTATCCTTCATATCATGACTCGAGTCATGGACACTTTGTTTACTGTGAGAAAATACCATTTTAATTTGCTCAGAAGCACAGAGACGCACTTTGCAATAGTGCAGAAAAGTGTACAGATTTAAATTCCTGTTTGGTACAGGCATAGCTAACTTTTCTAGCTAGAACTTGTTCACATAAAAATGGTTAGCTTCAGATGATTATAGCCAAATCATAGTTGTTACTAAATGCTTTTGACTACTTTCATTTCATCTTATTTGTCCCAGGAATAAATCGAGTTTGTTTCAGTTTTTCATATTCAGGTTCTTATGAACTACTTAAACTTTTGTGGTACTAGCATCCTTACTTCAGTAATAGTAGAAGTAATCACAGTGTTCCTAATAGTGGTTTTTGCTAGTTTTAATGTAAAGCAGATATTTTAGTGGCAATACGACCCTGTGATAGACTGAGGTGATGATATCAAACGGCTCACGTGTAGTGAAAATGTGTTGTATAAACAATTAGGTGTTAAAAAAAATTCAGTGAGATTATTTCTTCTGAATTAGGGGTGCAGACCATCTCCAAGCTTTCCTCCACTTCTTGTGTTCTTTCTGTCAATGTGAAATGGCATTTTATTTATGGAGGACTGGATAGTTCGCAATAGCTAAGTCTTAAAACTTAATAGTTGCTTTTACTCCCAGGTCTCTTAAGAAAACAACGACAACAAACCCCAAACAAAACAGAAACCCAAACGCTTAAACTTTGGCAGGGACAGACAAAAGGAATACCACAACTCATATAGCTGGGCGCGCTGCCTCCTTTCAGTCCAACACAGAAGATGGGGCGGGGCGAACACAGCAGTTGGGGCGCCGGAAGTTTTGCAGCATGGACTGCAGAACGCCCTGCTGTCTCCCTTTGAGCTTCTTATTTGAAGAAGAATCTGAGGAAATAGATCCTCGAATCTGGCCACTTTGTGTTTTAACTAGCTTCTCATGTTCCTTAATTTGTCTTTGTAAATGGTTCTGGATGGCAATTCCCAGGGACTCTGGGTCCAAGGAAGCACCATACACTTCCCAGGTCATGCCTTGGTCATCCCACACTACGTCCCTGACTCGCTTGGACTGTTTCAGATGCAGCTTGGAGTCTGCACCCATCTGTTTCTTCTTTTCTCCAGGTGTGAGCCCCACCTGGGCAGCAGCTGCCGTCACGTTGAGCTCCTTCAGGAACTCGCTCACCCGGCTGGCCCTGCGTGGGCTGGCCTTGACCGAACGAGAAGGGGTCCTCTTGCCAGAGCCCGGGCTCGAGTCGCCTGTGCCATCGGATGGCAGGCTCAGACTCGTGGCTGTCTTGGTCTGTCTGTGTTCTTCCATGGTGTTCTGCTGGCTCTTCCGCCCTGGGGAGGGTGCAAGGTTGGCCTCTGGTCCTGTGCCTTCATTTTCTTGAGGTTTAGGATTTAGTAGCAGGGTTTTGGCGTCTAGGGTGCAGGTGGTCCCAGCTGTGTGCTCTTTGACAATGTGAGGAGAAGCAGACTTCCCGTCCTTTGCACCTCTGTTATCAGTGGGATTCAAGCTCTCCAGCTGGTCATCTTTACTGGCGCCTCCACGCAAGTCAGGTAGTTTGCAGTCTGGCTCAGTTTTGTGGTCATTTGTCGTTTTCACTAACCCATGACTTATCTCAGCTTGACTTCCAGCAAAGGGGGAAATCGTGTCAATGGGGCTGGCTTTCTGGGAGCCAGGATTAGTACCTGTAGGCTGCCCGGAGGGTGCCTCTTCGCTTGCTGAAGACTGCCCATCTTTCTCTGTATCCTGCTTTTGACTGGAGGCCATCAGTGAGGATTTAAAGGCTTCCCCTGGTTTGTTTTCCGGTTTGCATTCCCCCTGGACAGCTGCAGGAGTGGCAGCAGCTGGCTGGATGTGCACCTGTGGCACAATGCCAATGCACTGCCTTGACCCCCGGGGGTCTGCCATGCTGTTCGAGAGTTCCAGCGAGTGGCCTCCACTGCCTTTACCATGGCAAACTACACGTAGCTGCTCTTGCCCGTTCTCCGGCTCAGGAGCAGGAATTTCCTTTAAGAACGCAGAGAGGATGCTGGGGCTGGTAGAGACAGACCTGCTCTCCACACTTGCCACTGCCTGCACCTCAGCATCTTGCCAAGCCCTTCCAGGGACCTCCTTAGTCTCCCTTTCAGCTTGGCAGGTCATAGTAGCGGCTTCTTTGAACCTTGACACCGGATGCTGTGCTAGCAGCGGTGCCTTCTTTGCATCTGGAGAACAAGTGGGATCTCCGCTGGTGAGGGGGGATGGGGGAAGCTTTTCAGACCCTTCACCTGTGGTGTCTGAGGCAGTAGCAGAAGGCTGTTCATTCTCTGAGCACCCTCCTCTTGCTACAGGCTCATTGGACCCTACTGTGCTGTTACTACTGTTGCCTTTCTGCCCTTCCCCATCAGGTCTGTCTGCGGAAGGGGATGCGTGAACCCCCATTGCAGGATCTGAAGCCCGTACAATTCCCTGCGTATTTTCTGGAGAAGGAAAATCACAGAGCACTTGATTTTTGCTGCTGCAACAGGTGACCCTGGTAGGACAACTTGACATCTCAGGTTTTGCACTGTTTGAGTTTGCCTTTGACTTCACCAAGGAATCTTCAGGTACCAGAGAGGTGCTAGGATTTGGCAGGTCACCTCGGATGGCACGGTGAGCATGCTGAACGGCTGCCATTAAAACCGGTGCCGATGTAAGTTCCTCTTCTGCAGTTGGATCCGGGCCTGGCGCTGCCAGCTCCTTGCTTCGTTGTGGCTGGGGGTCCTCGGGAGTGTTGTGTGTGGGAGACACTTGTGCCACCTCATGCAGCACACCAGGGGCTGCCATGTCTTGCTGGCTGGTCTCATGCACACAAGCTTGCATCAGGGCCCCAGCAGCTGCGCCGAGCCTGAGGCTGAGTTCAGCAGGGGCATTGCCAAGGCCACTAGCATTCTTCTCGGGCTGAGCCTGTTGTGGGGCGATACTCTGCAGCTCTCCTCGACTCTCTTCCTTTCCAGAAGCTGCCACCATGGAGGCCTTAGTCACTCTCAGAGGGTCGGGTACAGTCCCCATGGACTTCTCTCCAAGAGCACTCCAGTGTCTGTCCCACGTATGTTTTCCACCGGGAAGCAGTCAGAACTCAAGGGGAAGACATCGAGATGAGTCCTCTGGAGAACTGGCCTAGGGAATGAAGCAAACAGCATCATTAATATGGCAACCCTTTTCAGGAGGAAATAAATACTGAACTGCCACTTTTGTAAGATCATGTAAGTTCATTAAAACATGTCTGCTTGAAACTAGATTGGTGGTACAGGTCTATCTCGCCAGATCTCAGAGGACAAATGCAGGAGAGTCACAAGTTCAAGGCCTGCTCAGGCTAGAGTGCAAGTGGAAGGTAAGCCTAGGCAAGGGAATCAGACCCTATCTTAAAAGAAAAGGATTAGGGTGTAGCTCAGCAGCAGAGCAGCTCCTAGCATGAGGTGCAGATGACACAGGTTCCCTTGCTAGGAATGACAAACATGCAAATGACAACAAAATCACACACACGCACACACTAAATAAATAAAACAAAAACCAACCAACCAACCAACCAAACAAAAAACCACCAAAAAATTTCTCATATCTGTTGATACAAAACTCTACTTGAGGTAGAAAGACTGAAAAAACCAGTCTAACTGTACTAATATTATTTCTACTGACTGGTTTCTGCTCACAATCAGGTGCTGCATATTGAATGACTTCTTAACAGAACTACCTTCCATAACTACTTCAGAAGTCATCATTGTAATCTGATTTGTTGGAAAAGTAAAATCCCTCAGTGCCGCTGGGACTAACTTTGTGAAGCACTGAGCAGGCCTGAGGAGATGAAGGGTCTTTGCAACAGAGCATCCAGAAATGAGTCTGGACTAAGGGGCATTTCAAGTCTGTTAAAGGATCTAATAGAAAGGACTAGTAAATGATCGGAATGATTGTTCTCAATCTGTGGGTCATAACCCTTTGGGGCAGGGGTCAAATGAGGCTTTCACGGGAATCACTGAAGATCATCAGAAAACACAGATATTGACATTAAGATTCATAACAGTAGCAAAATTATAGTTAAGAAGTAGCAATGAAAATAATTTTATGGTTGGGTTGGGATCACCACAATCTGAGGAACTGTATTGAAGGGTCCAAGCATTAGGAAGGTTGAGAACAGCTGCTCTAAAAGGAAAGACAGGCAAGGTTTGATTTATTAATTATATTCTGGTTGAAAACAATCCTAGATGTACTTATATGGACTAAGGCATTACAATGTAAGACATAAATAAAGATCATGTAAGAAATAAAATCTAGGAACCATCATTGTAAATAGTGGCAGCAGTCGTGGTTTTCGTGATAAGGCATAAATTAAGAAAAACAAATGAAAACAAACAAACAAAAACAAATGTATAGCTACATGCATGAAATTCAAAACTTTTGCATGACAAAAAGTTCCATAAAATGTATTTTAGATTACATATTTGAGGGGGAAAAGTTTGCAAAAATGGAAGGTATTTAAAAATATCTGTGTCATAGCAAAAGCCCTTAAGAATTAAAAGGAGATCAAATAATCTGTTGGAAAAGTAGGCAAAGTGGGAAAGCACAGTTAATAAGAAACCAATAACCAGTGAGCTTCAGAAAAGAAGGGCACGCTCATTTGCCATCAGATAAACGCACAGTGAGATTTATGCTAGACCAACTGCATTGCAAAGGCAGAGAGATGTGTGGCTCGGGGAGACTGAGTGGAGGAAAGGATCTTAGCAGTTGCAGACACAGAGCATCTCACTCAAGCTTTTCCAGGGACGTAGTTTAGTTGTTAAAGCACACCCCTGACCCAATGAAGCAGACTCAATAGAAACATAAATGATAATCAACATGTTCCTTCAAGTGTTATTTGTAGGAGCAAAACCTGGAAACAAAGACTAAGGGGAGCAGTAGGCAGTATCAGGACATATTCTACTATAAGGAATATGCAACATAACCATGAAAATAAAGGCATAAATGAGCCTTCAGCTTTTCACTGGTCAAGCATTTCATCAAATATGACTGAATGAGCAAATCAATGCACAGAAAAGAATATATATATATATATATATATATATATATATATATATATTTTTT